CCCAGGGAACAACTTATTCACAAAGGCATTTGAGGTCAGCTGTCTCAAAGACTGCCTACTTACTCCTGGCTAATTCAAAAGCAAGGGTAAGTACTGTCTCTACTCCTTTTAAAGATCATTTAATGTGCCAGGCAGTATTATCCCAGGACTCAGGAGACAGAGGCAGGCCGATCTCTGAGTTCCAGATCTGTCTGGCTACAGAGTTTCAGGACAGACAGGGCTACACAGAGAAACCCTATCTCAAAAAACAAAACAGAACAAACAAACAAACAAAAAATCTGAGGCTACACAGGGAATTCAGCTTAGAGGTGGGATACTTGATTATCATGGTGGAGGCCTTGGGTGCAACCCTCAACAATACAAGAATAAAAATAAATAATGTTTGGGGTCTTTACAAATTCAGTTCATCAGTATTAGCTAATTTTATCATCAGGGGAAAAGAGAGAGAGAGAACAAAACTTTCATTTTCTATTAGTTTCTTGTGCCCACAGGGCTTGCTTCCCTCCTTCCCCAGCCAAATAACCCAGATTAGCAGGTTCTTTGTGGCACCATTTCTATGGCTGCATCACCTTCAGAGCAAGTCCTAGAACCAGGTCACCTTTTAGGACCCACCCTGAGCTATAAAACCCACATCCCAAAGCTGCTTCCTCCTAACACAATGTCCCTTTCAGGTGTTGACACAATCTTTAGGCTCTTGCTAGTGACCAGGCCCCTCCTACAGGGCAGTGAGGCTGGTGTTTCCAAGGACATGGCTTCTGTCAGCTCCAGGCCTGTGGGTCAACAGGAGGGGTTGGGTGAGGGGGCCCACTCTCCAAATCCCCTCTCCAATGCTCAGCCTGACAAACCGTGCACACAGACATGACAGGGGATTGTCAAAATGCACCACAGACAATGTAGCTAATGTACCAGGGTCCCCTGCAAAGGAGCCAAGGGCCAGTCAGGAAGGGATGTGACCAAGGCACCCGGAAAGGAACCGCTTTTGTGAACATTAGTTTACTTCCTCTGTTTATCCCTTTCTCCAATGGGAAAGAAAGAGGGAGTGACGGCAAAAGCAAAGTTAGATGCTGGCTATACTCCTAGAACAGCCCGTAAGCCATTCAGGCAGAATTTTTTTTATAGGACGGATGAAAGAATGACGAGCCAGGCTGCCAAAATCAGCAGGGCAAGTAAGTCCTGTGTATTCAGCTCCAGAGGGGCCTGGACACAGTTCAGAAAGAGCAGAGAATCCAAAGACAGAGATGCTGACTCCTGGGTAGAACTGCCAGTCACAGAACACAAGTTAATTTATGAATTATAAGGTAGTGCACAGCACCATTGAGGGAGAAGCCAAGAGACTGTTCTGGAATCTTCTGGATCCTGTCCCTCCCAGAATTTCAAATGCCACTTTTCAAAATTCTAGACTGTACTAATAAAGAATTCTCAAAATAAGAATGGTAACTCATTCCTATTGTTAGTAGAGTGTTTTCTTAACTTCCACAAAACTCCCAGCACCATGAAAAACGGTAGCACTTGAGAAGCACAGGCGGGAAGATCAGAAGTTCACAGTCATCCTTGGCTACATAAGGAATTCCAAAACAGCCTGGGCTACATGAGACCTGGTGTCGGAGGGAAAGAACACAAAGCACTCATGATGAAGAATAACCTTTAAAAATCGTGTGTGTGTGTGTGTGTGTGTGTGTGTGTACCTGGGGACACACTCATCTGAAATCAACTTCAGCATCTGCCTATCCCCACCTCCCTATTGCTGAGATGACAACCATATGTCACCACTCTAGGCTTTTGGGAGGGAGGGAGGGGGGATGGGAGGGAGGGAGGGAGGGACTGGGGCTCTCCTCAGATTTATACAGTAGACAGCTTACTGACTGAGCTATCTCTGCAGTCCCCTAAACAATCATCTTAACCCTTAGAGAATAGATATTGACCTCAGAAGATTGGCTCTGAGTATACCCAGTCCTATTACAGCTGTCCACTGAAGGACAAACCCAGAGTGAGGCCCAGTCGTGAACTCACCACAACTTATGAAGCTCATTTTGAAGGGGAATAACAAGGTTAATGTCATAAAGTAAGAATGATAACACTAGTGTCTTAGTTCCTCTGTTTCCTGGTCTAGTTTTCTTTCTTTCTTTATTTTTCTTTTTTTCAGAATTTTGAGACAGAATCTTACACTATTACTCAGGCCAAGCTGGCCTCTAAATAAAAGCCACCACCACCTCCTTCAGTCTAGGATCACAGATGTAAACTACCATGTCTGGCTTATTTTCTCTTAAGTTTGGTTTTTTTAAAGATGGTTTTAAATCTTTTTTAAAGTTTTGTTTATTGGTTATGTGTGAGCTTGAATGTGTAGTACACAAGCACTCATCTGTGTGCATCCACATGACTCAGATGTGGAGCCCAGAGGACCACTTATTGGGTCTGTTCTTTCCTGCCCTATGCTTCCCAGTGATCCAGCTCAAAACACCAGGGTTAGCATCCTTGCATGCTGAGCCACTTCACCCAAAAGATAATTTTTAAATGAAATTCAACCTACATCCTTAATAGGTACTTGTTGAATACATAACAGAAGTTTATTTTTGTTTTGTTTGGAGGACAGAGTCTCACTTGGTTGCCCAGGCTGCTGAGGACTCACCAGGTAGCCCAGACAGGCCTCTTACTAAAGGCAGTATACCTGCCTGTGCCTCCCCAGTGCTGAGATTGGAGGCAGGTGGCCAGTACAACCTACTTCAAAGTGCTTAAATCCAGTGATATTTACTCCTTGAATTTCCCAAAGCCACTTGATGATGGTGGTGATGATGATGATGATGATGATGTCAGCATTTGAAATGTTTTAAAGAACTAACAAAGTCAGGCATGCTAGTTCATGCCCTTCACTCCAACACTGGGGTGGCTGAGTCAGGAGGATTGCTGAGAGTTTGAGACCCACCCAAGCTGTGAGTACCAACCCAACGCAGCCTACAGCTGGGACCCTGTTAAAAATTCACTTAAACCAAATCACTGAGTCTTGCCTTCTCCCAAGCCCTGTACTATGTCTCAAATATTCTTCTGTGGCAAAGCTGATACAGTTATCTTGAAAACTACAGTTTATTCAACACTTCAGCAGTTTCCTGGTTCTTGTCCTGTTTTTCCAGATTAAATCATCCATGTTGTTCTTCTGCTTGTTCACTCTTCTTTTTACTTTTTCTCTCTCTTCCTTCCTTTCTTTCCAAAGAACAAAAACTACTAGAGCAATGGCAATGTGGTGATATTCAATGGAACCCTGAGCCATTATCATCAGCCATATATTTTATAAGGCTTCTCCATCATCTTCTAGAAACAGCTTTGAAATTAAACCAAAGCAGTGCCTTGATGAAATGACAGAGAACCAACAAGATAGCTACCTTCCCTAAAACAAAGCAAAGCTCAGGCTTGTTAGCAGGGAGATTTTCATTTTCCTGTGTCTCCTACCCCTTCTCTCTCCAGGAATGTCAAGAATTTGAATTCCTTGTTCTTAAGGTGAAAGGGCTTTAATGCAAATGGTCTTATGAAGAGAAGTAAGGAATCCTGAGATGGGGAGCCAACCTGACAATAAAATCTCCCAGGTTCAACGTGACTTCGTTCCTAGGTGCTTCAGATGTGGTTGGAAAACAGTATCTTCGTCAATCAGGAGCCAGCCAGCTCTCCACCTCCTTAACAATTCTCTTGCCTTTGATTTCAACACTCAGCTAAGAAAGCAGGGATGATCAACAGATTTCGTGTGTGCCAGGGATGCACATTGTCAGGAGGGCAAAGGGAATACAACTACAGCGGCTTTCAAGTGGATTACTTCATGTGGAGGGGATGTTCTGGACAACTCTCTGTGGTGGAGTTACTCAACAATAGCTAAGGAGGTGGGAATGCTCTGAGGAGCGCCCAATTGGCTTGCAGTGTCAAAGAGGAAACCACCCATAGGCTGCCTCACCTGGAAAGCTGTGTGGAGTAGTTGGTCTACTCCTCTTTTAAGATTTTCTCCTGGAGGTGCCAAAGGAAAGCAGGCTATTCATAGGCTGACCCTGAAGCTGTGCCTGCCCAGGGGTACCTTTCTCTAAACAGAACAACTCAGAATTCTCCCATTCAAGGACTGGATGTCTCCCGGCTGGCCCTCACATGGTCTCCTGGTGAATACCAATGTGTTTGCTTTGGGATGCTTAAAGAGAAAACAACTCTGATATCAGATAGTACTACCAAATTCTGTAAGAGCTTGGCCATCACTTTGATACAATGTTACTTTGTTGTTTTAAAATATTTTAACTTTATTATTATTTTTATAGTATTATTCCAACAGACTGTTTAAAGGCAGTGATCACTAATACAGAACACACAGGGGCTAACAGTCAGCCAGGTTGCTCTCAGGACAAGGCCTGTGGTGGCCAGGTCACTGACATGCACGTGGGTAGCTAGTACGCTGCTACCTTCATAGCTTAGGCTGCAAGAGAAGTGACGGAAAAGACAGGTACCATTGGGCCCGTGGAAGCTATTTAATAAATATCATCCAAAAAAATAGAAGGGAAAACAAACCCTCCAGAGTACATCCACCTTAGGTCAACTGAAAGCAAGCTAGTTTATTCAACCAAAAATCCGAGAAAAAGGAAAACATTAAAACCGAAAAAAAAAAAAAAAAAAAAAAAAGAAAGAAAAAGAAAAGCAGTTCTTAAAGCTAGCAGTAAATAAATTTATACAACAATTCAGTCTGTATAATATGATGAAATAAATCTACATCTTTTCTTATTTTGGTGCTTCTGAATTATACATACAAACAACAATTACAGGGACTGGTTCACAGAGCATGGAGGCCTAGACATGACATTCTTAAATCCTCACTGGCAATTGGTGAGATTTCACACTGATTGCCCAGATCTGAGATTTCCTTTGCAAAGGCTCACAGCCCGGAACAAATGATTTGCCTACAACATTTTTTTTTTCTTGGATTTTTTTCTTTTCTTTTCTTTTTTTTTTTTTTTTTTTTTTTTTTAATTTTTTTCTTTCTTTTTTTTATTTTTTATTATTATTTTTTTTAATGCATCAAACAACTAAAGGGAAACAAAACTGACAGCGTGCCCATTTGGACATCAAGACTTAGTTTCTTCTGTCTCTCCCTCCATACTTTATCCTCCCTATATTCCTTAAAATTCTTGGCATCCTTCATGCCTTTCTTACAGCTATCCAGGTACAATAAAGTCTTCCTCAAATGTACAGTATTTCTTACAATATAAGTTATATGCAATGTTCAGCAATATTTTTTTTCACAGCACTAGAGACCCTGTTAAATAGGGAATATGAGTCTGAATGGCTTATTCACAAATGGGATCCGGATTCAGTGGTTGGAACACAGACACCACCGGGAGCTCCTTTGAAAAAAGAAGCAAACATTTTGCTTTCTGCCTTCAAAAACACAGATCTGTCGCTTTCGGGCTTCATGATACTGCTCCTGCAAAAACGCAAGTAGAAGGGGTCAGAGGGATTCTTTGTAGACTTGGAAACTCCTCGTGCATACGGAGCAGGGCTCTCCCTCTCTACCCCATGGCGGTGACCATGCTGGAAGGATGGTGAGGTCCAAAGGAGAGGCCAGAGGGCGGGTGCATGGGCGTCGGTGTGGTCAGCATGTGGCTGGAGTGGCTGAACGGGGAGATGTGACTCAAGGATGACATGTGTCTGGAGAGGGCAGCCGGGTTGAAGGAGCTGCTCTTGGGGAAGTCCTCCAGAGCGTCATGCACCTTTTTGCACTTTTTGGATTTGCTAGACATCTTCCGGTTTCGGGTCTGGATGCCTTCCTTCTTCATAGTCAGGGGTCTGTTAATCTAAACAAAGATCAATTTTTTTTTTTTTTTTTTACTTTTTGCTGCCTTTGAAATGGTACAGGCTTTTTGCACAGTGGCATGGGGCCCTGCCACCTGCCTTAGGCCAGGGGGGTGTTTTTCAAGGGACTATAGTGCTCCTGTAAGGGGCTTCCCACTCAGCTGCCACAGCTTTCAAAGCCCAGAGGTGCCAAGCATACCTCATAAAAGCTCATCATAATTCAAATGGGAAAGTTGGCATGTTCAGGACCCACCTAGTAGGAGTATTATATCTGGCAACTTAAAATACAATAACCTGTCTTACTTCCTTAAGATTTCCCTAAGTTATTTCATGAGGAAACGGGTTTTGAGACACTTTGGGGGGCACACACCATTTTGTTTACTTGTTTGATGAATCTAATCTGGTACTTCCCACATAGAAGGAGCCAGTGGGGGGTTGTGGGGTGTGTCCAGCCTCCAGTGTTGATGTCTACCTTTCTTGGAAATTAGGACTCCTGTACCTCACTGCAAAGGTCTGACTGCCACTCTTCCACCCAGCTTTTTCACAATGTAATATGGTGGAAAACCTTCCTCCGGGATGTGTGTTCTGAGACTTTTAGAAGGAAGAATGTTCTGGGGATGAAACCCAGGGCCTCACCACACTCATAGCTACTTACATAGCCCTGGAGCCTATCCAAAAGCAGTGTGCTCTTCCAAAGGATAACCCTGTGTCCACATCACCCAACAGCAACCATTGTGATTGGCAGCTGCTGCTGCCCCTAGCCTGCCTCTGCATCTTGAACAGGACAAGCAACTGAAACCAACCAATGAACCCAAAGTCCTTTGACAGTATGTAAGGAAATTGGCAGTCAAAATGAAAAACCAAGGATGCATCACATAAAGATGCAAGATCCTTCTCTGAAGATCGCTAGGCTTGCAGGACATGATGGCATATACCTAGAATGCAGGGATAGGAGGGCTAGGAGTTCCAGAATAGCCTGAGCTACTAGCAAGACCCCACTGAGAGAAAGAGACCACCCTCTTGGTTAAGTGATTAAGTGTCCTTTTAAAATCATGTACTTTGGGGACACAGAATCAAGGATGGGGCTTTACAAAGCTAACAGAGGCAAGTCAATGTCAACAGCACACATCTGTCACAATGAACCGACTGCATATCTAGCTGTGTTCCCAGGGATGCAACCAAGAATCTTGACAAGAGGGAACCAGGGCCCATTGCTGCCTGCCATGCTAAGAGCAAGCAGTCCCAGCTACCAGGCTTCTACAGTGTGGATAAAAAGACTGCCTTGGCTCTGGCCTGCTCTTCTCTGCTTCTGAGGCTGGAAATGACAGTTAAGGAAGGAAAGACTCAAATAGCCCAGAAGGACTAAATAAGAACATGACTTCCTGGTGTTGGCAAGTCACCTGAGAGGGATATCAAGTCCCACACCGGAGCCTCAGGACCTTATTAACCCCTATGATAGGAAGACGGGGTGAGTAAAAGCAGAAGAGCCAAAGTCAGTGCCAGAAAAATGTCTCAGGGCTCCTTCAGGTTGTCAGGAAGATAAAGATGCCACCCACAGAGATGACAGGTATCCACTCCCACGGCAGACCTTCCCTAAGATAATGTCTAGATACACCACTGTGTATACCAATCACTAGATGTACACAGCTAGATATCTAAATATAATATCTAGTTACACCAATAGCTACATGGCCACAGATAGCTAGTCACAACACACCTAGATATGCTGATGCCGAGATAGGTAATCATCTAAACACCTAGATAAGAAGACGGGAGCCCGTGGCGTACATGTGTAGGCACAGCATGGGCAGAAGAAATTGCACGCCAAGAAAATGGTCGTAGATTATTATCTTATTGTTAAACACACCTAAGTTGCCTCCTTTGATGAACCCCATACTAAGCTAGAAGGCAAGAAGAAGGAAAAAAAAATACACACATGAGAATGTAGGCTTATAACTACAGCACTTGGGGGCTGAAGCAGGGGACTGCTGGGTCAGGGAAGGAATGAGAGGAGTAAGCAATAGAGAAAATGTCAACAGGCTGAGGGTATGACAGCTTTGTGGCACTTCCCTCGCATGCATCAAAGCTCTGGGTCCATCCCTATCACCACCAGGGAAGAAACTATGCACACACGTACTTATGTGAGAAAGCACCTTCATCACAGCTCATCACTATTGTCTTAAAAATTAGAGGTAGCTAGTTTCCCATAATTCTATAACTCCATGGAGGTGTTAAAGAAATGCACACGTGTCAGCTCTTGGAGATCTTGTGGCCCTATAAGGTCAGACTGAGAACTTTCCAAGTCCTCTATCACTTCTGACACCCCGACCTCCATAGGAGGCCTCTGACACCCTGAATTCGGCCCTGACTTCTACTTGATTAGTTATGTGACCTTGCATACCTTAGGTGTGTGCCTTTCTGAGTCATAACTCCTTCAAATACAACTGAAATAAAGAGTCTTTGCCCTATCTACATCACAGGGCTATCTGAGGCTCACATGTCAAGTAACATGGACATTCTTAGAGAGTTGGAAACTGTAGCTCAGAAAACAACCATAAAGGCTGCAGGGATGCCTGGAGAGTTAATAAATGCTAATGTTCCAGTCCCCACCAGATCACAATCACAAATCTTTCTAGCTGCTCTGCCCCATATTTGAAAGCAGGGCTTGGTTTAGTTACTGATAAATCTGTATGGCCCCAGGAGTGTGGGGACAACAGCAGATCCTTCTTAGGAAGACTCTGGTTTCCTTATGCTGGACAACTCTGAGGGACTGCATCAAGAGGTGCGAGTTTAGACTCTTACAGTATCTCAGAAACTTTATCTCAGAGAGAAAGACAGAGACAGAGAGAAACAGAGACAAAGAGAAAGAGACAGAGACAGAGAGAGGGAGAGAGAGAGATGGAGACAGGGGTGGGGGAGAAGAGAGGGAAGAAAGTTTCTCCTTCTATTCCCAGGTATTCCTGGGTAAAGTGAGTTCCTGCCAGAATGGCCACAAGCAAAAATTCCTGCTTCTTCCTCATTCCTCCCAGACTCGGCCAAAGGCAAAAGAAACCAGGAAAATAATGTAAAGTTGAAGAATAGGCGAGAGGTGACAGTCTTTTTCTTTGGTGTGTGGGGAGGGGGGGGAGTGAGGAGCTTGGTATTAACCATATAGACATTTGAGGCTGTTTTCTGCTACATAGTGAGTTCAAGGCCAGCCTAGGCACTATGAAACCCTGTTGCAAAAATAAATAAAAAATAAAATAAGAACAAACAAAAGGTTGACTAGCAATTGCCATTCTGCCAATGAGGCCCAGAAGGAAGAAGTAACCATTTCTTTTCTCTAGTTCCAACCTCATATCTTCCCTCAGTTGCTTACATGGGAAAGCTGGTTGTGACAAGGACATCCAAAGAAATCTTTAGACATTTCTGTTCATGTTTGTCACACAGAGCATCATTTGAAGTTCATAGCACAGGGCAGCCAAGGCTTTTGCATCATCAGTAACCAAAACTTTGCTGGTTGGCCCGGAAATAGATGGCAGCACCACATATGCTTTACCCTTCCTCCTCCTGCAAGGTAGGAGCTCCTGGGCCCCACCCCGTGCAAGGGAACATGGACACAGAGTTGGTGATCTTCTGGCTTGTTTGATTTCTTGACACACAGTCTCTTTATGAAGCCCTGGCTGTCAGAGAATTCATGTAGACCAGGCTGGCCTGAAACTCACAACCATCTACCTGCATTTGTCTCCCAAGGGCCAGGGATGAAAGACATGTTGCACAACCTGACCTGGCTTGAGAACTGACCATTTTTCTGTTTTCCAAGAAGATAATTTTTTCCCCTTAAAAACTACACAGGTCCATGCTATTGTATGTCAGGTCTCAATCTCACATAAAAACTGTCCAAAACATACTAAGTGGGTAGTGGGCAGCATTCTTGTCCATCTTTTTGTTGTTTTTGAGGCCGGATCTTGCTATGTAGCCTTGGTTGGCCTAGTACTAGTTACGGCTTCCAACTCATGGTAGTTAGTCCTCCTGTCTCAACCTTCAAAGTGACAAGGTTATGGATATATTACCAAATCTGGGTTCCTCCTCTGTCTCTAACCCTTCCGTCTCAGCCCAGATGTTTTCAAAACTATGTCCAGCCACATGTGGTGACACTCATCTGTAATCCTAGCACTCTGGAAAAAGCTACAATAGGAAGACCAGGAGCCAAAGGCCAGCCCCCCTATCCATGTAAAGTAAAAAGCTAGCCTGGGCTATATAAAACATGTGTCTCAGAAAACCAAGAATTACAAATAATAAACTCAATCCTACTGTGTTGATTTCTGAACAAATTGCTTAGCTCCAAAGACATTGAATAAAACCCATCAGGAATCTGGGTGCTGGTGCTGGTGCTGTTTCTTCGGTATGTATGGTCAGGATCCCCACCACCCCAGCCAGGTCCAGTCCCACTTACATTGTGCAGCTTGTAGTAGAGTCCACAGGCATTGCAGACCGGGTCCCCGTTAGCGTTCCTTCTCCAGAGGGTGGTGGTGGTGGTCTGACAGTTCGCACAGGATGTCCCTGCTCTCCTTGCTGCTGACTGGGGGTGGGAGAGAAGAGAGGATGAAATCAGAACAAATAGTAAATGTGGTGGAGCTACAAAGACAGGCGTGGAGGCAAGAAAAAAAAAAAAAAAGATTGAAATCAAAACTAGCAAGTGGGCCACATGAAAGTCATGAAGATCCCAGGTCATCCCTGAGAAGAAAGATGCAGCCAATCCAGTGCTTAGGAGTTCATGGAGCCTCAGCAGGCAACCTTAGTGAGGGACTCGAGAGAAGCCATGCCACCTCCTTGGGGACATTACCCTCCCCCTTCCATCCCTATGAAGTACACCACAGAGTTCATTTTAAGGTGACAATTTCTAATTAGCCAGGCTAATTTTGGTACCAAGCTGTTAGTCATTTCCATTCATCATTCCCAGGCCACAAGAGTTCTTTTTCAAGAAAGACTACCAAATATGTTAATCTCGACGTCAGCTGCTGGATGCCAAGGCATACTAACAGCAAAATGAAAGTAAACCTGAGCTAGGAAACCCTCACTAGGCTCCCTAACTCAGGAAACATTGAATTGGGTGGGCAGAATGGTAGTTGCCTGGAAACTCTGGAATGCTGGGGCAGGAGAATTACTGCTAGCTGGCATTACATAGTAGGAGAAAGAAGCAAATGAGAAGGTATGTTAATACAGATGTATGAAGATAGCCTGGTGAAACCCAATACTTTGCATGCCAAACTAAAAATTGAATTTATATATAGATATGTAAATACAGATATTTTAAAGACTACAAAAAAACCCAGGTTGCCATGATTTAGGAAGAAGATGTCCTGAGTCAAAACCCTGCCTAGTCGCCATGCCAAATAGCTGATACTATTGGACTGGGCAGGTCACTTGCCATTCCCAGGACAGCCAGCCTCAATAGCTTTAGGTAGGCAGCCATCATGTAATGAGACAATTAAAAAAAAAAAAAAAGATATCTGAATCTTTAGTAGGAATCCTGGGCCCACCTGACTCTAGTCTCACACCTCCTGTGTGAGGTTCAATATTTCCTACTAGCTGTTCTCTAAGGGAGCACAGGAGTCATAGGCCAAATGTCAGCCTCATCTTGAATTTTAATTCCCTGGCTATGTGGGCTTAGTGGTTTACTCACAACTTTAATTCCTGCACTTGAAAACTTACAAGATTGCCACCAACTTAAGGCCAGCCTGGGCTACACAAGTTTCAGGACAGTATGGGTTACAAAGAGAGACCCTGTCTCAAAATTAAATCTAAATGTCCTTAGTTCTGCTTTCATTTTCTTTAACACACAGAGATTTCTTCTACCATTTGTATATTAAAACTTATCAGGCAGATTGTCTATGCACATGTTTGATGAAAAATTAACGTCAAAACTGTTGAAAGAAAATGGAACTGTGGGCCATCACAATGGCTCACAGATAAAAACACAATCAAGGTTGACTGGATCCCTGCAGCCTATGTGGCAGATGGAAAGAACCAACTCCTACAAGTTGTGCTTTGATCTACACACACAACACACACACACACACACACACAAATACACACATATATAAAATAAAAATGGATCTATCACTTTTAAATATTCTTTCTCACCTTGAAAAGAAAATGTTAACTCAAAAATTAGTCTGGATCCTGAGCTCAAAATTAATAGTAAAGAACAGAAAAAAAAGGCATTCAGGTAACATCAAGAAACTTCTAGTATGGAATCTGGAGATTCAGCTCAGTGGAAGAGCTGTTAATACAGCAGAAGGCCCGGGCTGGATCCCTAACCCCTGCCCCCCCCAAAAAAAAACTAGAAAAGGAGGAAGGGGTGGGGAATGGAGGGATGAAGGACAAAGGAAAGGAGAAGGAAGGAAAAGAGATTCTTCTATGACTTTAAGAACATGAAACTAAAACCTACAATGTCCCTAGCTTTATTCTCTATCAATATTTCATGAAGCACAAAGTTGCAGCAAACACTCCAAGCCGTGTTTGGAAACCCAGGGGCAATTTTGAATTCAGCAGACAGATTCCCTTCCTTTTAAAGTCCCTGGGTTGTCCCACAGATCTGTTCCCATGGGCTTTAAATAGCTCAGACTTTTTTTTTTTTCTTTCAGGGACTGTAAGGAAGTAAAATTAAAACCAGCCCTTGTCTATCACCGTGGAGAAGGTGCTGCTTTCTCGATGTCCATTCTGAAACTAAGTCACTAAGGCCCAAAGGCTGACTGGAGCCTTTGGCCACCTGCCTTTGTGAAATGTGATCATTTAATACTTAAAAACGATTTCCCCTCATGTGCTCTCTAGAAGAAAGTCCTACTGAAAACCAACACCTAATGATTTGTGACAATTATGTTACATGTGATTATTATCACCGCCCTATGGTGTTCCAGAAGAAATACTCAGATCAAGCCCAATAGTGTCCACTCAGGCAACCAGCTCTCCCAGTTCAATAATTTCAAATGAATAATGTAAATATATAAGGCTAATTAATACAATGAGTGCTCTAAATGAAGAATTCCGTGCACATGTAAATAATCCTTCACAGTAGATTGTAAAGATCAGAAATATACATGTGTGCCAGCTATGTCTCTGGTAAGACAGAGTTTAGGCAAACTTACAGCATTGCCCAGAACCACACTGCTGGGCTCCGTGGCCCAGGCATCAATAAGTCCTTCAACAAAGCAAGCCGCCCAACCCATTCTAGTTGTAAATCATAAGAAAATTCTGGAATACTAGTAGACAGGAAAGCTATGATCTAGCCACCGGTCTTCTTGTGCATGTCAGCATTTTATTTGTATCTCCTGGAGACGCTAGCTGCACGATGGGCTAAGGTGCTCATCAGTGAGTCTGCAAATATGTGAAACAAACCCATCAAACTGCAAAGGCTGAGGCACAGTGAAAAGAAGTGATAAGTAAGAAAGAAGAAAATATATCTCCAATGCCCTTACCATACATAAGCCTAGGTGTCTACACCCCAGCACAAAGATAAGAGAAGGAAAGAAAAGAGAACAAAAGGTTCTAGGTGTTTAGAAGTAGAATGTATCTAAAGGGGGTAGGAGAAAAGCTGGTGTGATGGCTCAGAGGGTAAAGGGGCTTGCCAGCAAGTCTAACGACCTGAGTTCAATCCCCAGTGGTGGGAGAACACTCACTCTTCCTGCATGTTATCTGCTGACACACACACACACACACACACACAGTAGCGTGCAGCGTACACACAAAAATAAATTAAAAGAAAATATCCATGTGTTTCCGTGTTTCATTCGAATTGTAATGGGATTGAAAATGTCAATACCACCCTGGGGTGGGAGGAAGGAGGGATGATTAACACAGACAGTTTAAATAGTGACAGCCTTTGAACTCTAGAATTAAAATCAATTATTACTCAGAGTGCCACAGACTTCATATGAAAGGTGAGTGGAAGCAAAGCTATACAAGATAGAAGTAGGGTCCTCCCCTGTGTTCTCTGTCCAGACAGAGAGAAATGCCAGATAAAGTCTCTCTCACCCATCAGACATCAGAGAGCCATGAGACTTCAGATCTTTATAACGTTTTTTTGTCTCTACAATTAAAAACTGTAACTGTACTATGATCTATTTCAACAAGAAGTTTTGTTGCTTTTTTTTTTTTTTTTTTTTTTTTTTTTGCCCTTTTTTCAGTAAGGCTGGGTTCTGGATGATTCATGGCATTCTTTTGTGGTGTGATCACACTCATTCTGAGCTAACACCTCCAGCATTTTTTTTTTTTTTTTTTTTTTTTTTTTTGTGCCTCTTGTTCTGATCCGTCTAAACATCTTGATGTTTAAGTTGGAGAAGCTGAGTTGTTGTTTATGAGTTATCTCTAGCACTCAGATATCCGGCAGCTTTTTCCTAGGAAGTTAGCTCTGCACATAAGAGAAAGGGAAAAAAATACCCTAAACTGCCTGAGAAGTGTGTGTGGTGGTGGGAGGGAGGGGGGTGTTGAGACAGTTGGAGAAAAGGGCAAAGATCAGATCGAATGAAGCCTAGAGATCTAAGATTGAAAAAAAAAAAAAAAAATTAAGTCGTGTGGGCACTTCCACCCCTAGAAAGTTTTCCTTTTTCTAAAGAGGAAGTAAAAGGTGTTAAACTGCACTGCTGTCTAGCAGGGAAGACAGATGACACCTTAAGGAAGAAATAGCGGGGATCTCATCTTTGTTTTGTTTTGTTTTTCTATCCACTCCCACCCGGTTGGAGTCTGCATGGAGAAGAAATTCTTCCCCTCCACTTGTGAGACTTAGCATTTTGATATCGCCTATGGGTATTGGCCCCTGCCAACTACTCTTATTCTCTTATATACAATTGCTCTTATATACAATCCAGCCCAAGGTTTCAGAGTCAAGTTTTCAAACAAATGCCTCCTGTTTGCTTTTTTTTTTTAATACATGTTCAATGGTTCGAGGTTTTTCTCGGGTATTCCTAATAACCAAAAGGTTCAAGAAATAAAAGAAAGTGTGTATGGTGGGAGCCAGAAGCAATCGCCCGATGGATAGTTGCTAATATACATAATAAATACATAAATAAAACCAAAGGCTAGATAAGCCCACAAGTCAAGACAGGAATCAAAAAACTTCCCCCAGGAATCACCTGTACAAAGTCCTCAAAGTCAAGAAGCAGAAAAATACCAAAGGCTGAGTCTGAAATTCAGTTTATTCAGGATCAATCCCATGGCCCAGGCCACCTTCAAACTCTACATGTGGCAGAGGCTGGCCTTGAACTCCTGATCTTGTAGCTCCAACCTCCTAAATTCTGGGATTATAGGAATGCACTACCACACTATCAGTCTTAAAGTGGTTCACCCACAGCTCTGGATCTAGAACTGCTTCCACGGAGCGTTAAGGACTTCCAGGTTATGTTCTAAATGGGATAGTTTGTTCCCACATTAAGTTTCCGTCTGTGGCACAGCAATTATTGAGTCGTCCTGACATTGCTGAGCTTATTCTATTGGGAAATAAGTTTCAAGTATAATAACCAGTAAGTTAGTATCCTTATAATTTAAGGAGTGACTTAAATATGAAAGACAAAAATACAGGTTGTTTTCTGTGTCTAATCTGAAAGAAAAAACAGGAGGAAAAGAGAAAGGGGGGATGGGGTAGGGTGGGGAGGCAGAAAAGGTAATAAAAAGAAAGGGAAGAAAAAGGAGATAAAACTGATATGGCTCTAAACTGTCCTGCCAATTCCTTGCAGAAAGCCATCCTTCCCAGAGACAACATGGAAAACACAAGCATTAAGATGAGTTCAGTTCTCCCAAGAACTTACCAGCCTTCGCTTGGGCTTGATAAGGGGCCGGTTCTGTCCATTCATTTTATGGTACAGTCCACAGGCGTTGCAAAGGTAGTGCCCAGTACCATCTCGCCGCCACAGTGGGGTGGAGGTTGCCCCACAGTTCACACACTCCCTGCCTTCTGGAAACAAGATCATGGATAAGTCACTTATGGAAGGAAAGCACACAAAAAGGAGATAACATTTAAAATTATGAGGAAGGGTTTGTGAAATCCCTCAGTGAGTAAAGGCACTTACTGCCAAACCTGGTTGTAAAGAGACAACCAACCCCCAGAAGTTGTTTTCCGTCCTCCACATATGTACACAGGCATACACACACACACACACACACACACACACACACACACACACACACACCACAATTCCAAACTCATTTAACAGTTCAACCCATCTCCAAAGTGCTCCAAAGTTATGACTCTGTGTCTGACATAAGTCTTCCTGTTACACACGTCAGGTGAGTAAAGAGTAGCAGAACCTTGACTTTGACATGTCCCACTTGGTGAGGAAGATAGAGCCAAAAGGAAGGAGGGAGACTTAAAACATTTCCCTAAGAGGATGCTGAGTGTGAAACAGTCCATATGCAAAGCAAAAGATTTCTTTCATTTTCCTCAAAAGGAAAAGTAAATGAAGCAAGGAGTGGTGACCCAGTTGGTCACCGGGCTGTCTGTATAAATTGGCTCAATAATGAAGATTAGGATGGGGAGAAAGGAAAGATTAATCGATGGCTAGATAGATAAACAGATAATAGATGGATGTGTAGATTGATCAATTGGCTGACTGATTGAGTAGCTAGAATTTCACATTTTTTACTGCCAATAAAACTGTAAGTGCCCCTAGTTGCAAAGTCATCAATTCAGGCCCAACAGGACTGACTCAACCTCTTATTCTCAGAGCCTCCCCTCCAGAAAATAGCACATTTCCTGTAGGTTTCCAGCCACTATTAGAAGGATTGAAGTTAGACTCTTGCCCCAGCCTGGACAGCGAAGGGGCTGATATGGGGAAATACAGTATAAGCCTTTAGGCAGGAAATCTTCAAGAGCAAGCGGAAAAGCCAGAAGAAAGAGTAGAAGGGATAGACTGAAAGTCAGATAAAGATTGGGAAGAGAACTAGTTAAGGAGATCCACTCATTAACTGAGGCCAGACTGCAGCTTCTCTTCTTCCGAAACCACAAATAAACAAACAGAAAACCAGCCCAGCCAGGTTTGTTCACTTCCAGAACCAGGGCTGAATCAGGACAGGCACCCACTCCCAGAAAGTTCCTCGGTAGAAATGGATCCCCAGGAAGTGGACAGACAGACTTCTTTGCACCTTCTGAAACCAGAGAAGAGCCTTTTAGAAGGACCTCCTCCACTTTGGGGAGTGTAGAGAAATACACTAGCATTCTTAGTTCCTCAGAGAGGAAGTGGAGGGCCCTGTCATCCACAAGAACATGCAGCTCAACCGGGCCTGTGGCAGAGTAATGAGAGGGAGACACAGTGAATAGTGTGTGTGTGTGTGTGTGTGTGTGTGTGTGTGTGTGTGTGTGTGTGTGTAAAGAATAGCTCTAAAGAGTTCTTCAAAGGGGCTGAAACTATAGTGTGATGCAATAGTAGAGTATTTGCCTAGCATGTACAGGCACTGGATTTGCTCCTCAGCACTTAAAAAGGGGATCCCTTTGCCTTGAAAGATTAATCAATGACAAATGAAGTAAAGGAAGAAACTCCAGAAGAGCCATTTGAAATTCCCACTTTCCAGGAAAGAAACAAAGTCTACCTTGGTAGATAGAAGACCTAAGGATTTTTGGAAAGCTCCAGATCAAAACCAACAAGAGGTGTTCACACCTGTGGGCTTGTCACCTTCTCTAGGGACAAAATTTTGCAAGTTACCATCACCACAATTTAACTCCAATTCTCTCTAACAGTAGCCAAAAAAAAAAAAAAAAAAAAAAAAAAAAAAATTAGAAACATCATTTTCATCTTCTCCATTACTTGGGGGCTGTGTGTAAACTTGCTTTTTCAAAAATTGATTTGAGCAATTTTTTTCTAGATTACAAAAAGGCTCTTAACGTGGGGTCTGTAGAGAACTCTTCCTTGCTGTCTCTGGGACTAGATATGAAACCTTATACATATAGCGAAAGGCACTTCGATAGGAACTCGATTCTCTATTAACTTTTCCTGATTCCTCAAAGGTCCTGGAGTGTGTCGTATTCAGACAATTTTCACGTGGGGTCAAACTTTGATGGGATATTGCCAGTGGATGTGGAGAAGCAGAAGAGGTGAGTGGGTGTTAAGGAAGTACCAGCTGTAGAGCCATGGCCAGGAGGCCTTCCTGTTTTGGCTTCCCAAGTATCTACTGCATTCACAGCTCAAATACTGGGAGATACTATGGCCATGGCCCAGCCAAGGCCTGCTTTTTATCCTGTCTGCACAGGGTTCACTTAGGTCCCCTTCTCTGTGTAAGCAGCACTGAGCAGAAAGGCATAGTGATACTTGCTGCTTATATGTTGCCTGCACCAGGCCAGCAGAAAGATAGCAAGTTGCTACCCTGAACAGGGTGAATGCCTAGGTACCCTGGTTGGTGCTGAGGGGATCTCCCAGCCTGTGGCCAGGTTGATTTCCTTTCCATTGTCAGGTAGGAGGGAGACAGCTTCCTTTTTAGAGGGCCCTGAAAGCAGATAGCACCACGATGGTTGCTCTCAGGCAGAACCCTGCACACTAGAGCAATTTTCTGTCTTGATTCACTCCCCAAGTTTCTACTGCCTTGCCTTGCTTGGGCTTTTCTCTTTTCGTTTCTCCCTGCCTCTACTGTGACTTCAGCTCACAGCCAATTTTCCTAATGGAGGGCCTGACTCTCCTGCTTTCTGTCTTCCTCTTACCTCTCCCCCAGCTGCTGTGAGCTGCCAGGCAGACACCTCTCTTAGGTGACAAGAACCACAGAGCAGTGAGGCCTCTTGACATTCAACAGCCATTTTCAAATGCCCCTTGGGTTTCGGACTGAAACCCTGAGACTGGACTGTGTAGGAGCAGGAGGCGGGTCAGCTATTTTTCTCAGGAGAGTGAAAGGAGGTACCCACATCCAAAAAGTGATCAGGGAAACAGAAAAATGACCCTTTGGGGAAAAATAAAAGCAACAGCAGCAGCTTTGTCTTTTGTTCACAAAGATAGATCCCAGACCGAAAGCAAAGACATCAAGAAAGCAATGCAAGCGCTGACCACAGCCTCAACGGTTTCTCCCAAGCACAGCAGCAGCCCTGATCTGCATCTCTTTTCTATATCGCCCCATAAATGCCATCTGCAAAGAGGAAAGAAAGGACAGGGCAAAGAGGAAAAGGAAGAGAAGGGGGCGGAAGGGGGAAGGGGAAGGGATGGGAAACAAACCTAAGAGAATACCTGCTACAAGAATTCCCTCTAGTCTACCCTCTGCATACTGAGAGCTTCTAGAAACTTCCCTCTACACTCCAAAAGTCCCAGGTCCTTTGCAGACCAGGTATGCCACTCTTGGTTTTTATGACTGTGAGAAAGGAGTAAGAAGGAGGAAGTAAAATGTCAGATTTCTCTCCTTCACCACAGACATAGGTATTCCTGGCTCTGGGTCAGAGAAAACTTAGTACTGTCCTGTTTCTCTCCACCCTCACCCCACCACCCACAAGCTTAAGGAAAGAGTTGAGAGAAAGAAGCAGATCAGACCAAGAACAGAAAGTGTGCAAACCTAAGGAGATGGAACAGAAACGTGGAAATGAGGGCACAGACTTAAGTGTTCTGGAAAGTCAGAGCCCCCCCCCTTCCGCGCTCTAGCCTCAGACCTGGCACTTCCCTGACCTCAGAGCCCCACCAGTACAGAGAATTTTCATTTTTCTTTGTTTTTAAACCCCATTGCAACCTCAAAACACATAGCCTTCTTTCCTTGACTTTAGCCCTCCAGCAGCACATATTGGAGGCAACCAGTCCTTTTACCTCTCTCTAGGCCAGTGCCTACACTCCCCACAAGCCCCGTTCTTGGTTCTTGCCCAAGCACCTTAGCAGACCACATTACTCCCTCAGCCCTCTCTTCCTCTAGCTTTCTTTTTGACTCTACCAACGAGCCTACCTCCTTCTCCCTCCTGCCTACTTTCATGTACTGAACATGCAGGTCTGAGTTTTTCTGTCAGCCTAACCGCATCCGGACTCTATTAAAGTTCCTGGCCCAGGATAAACAATGCAACTGTCGCGTGCAGCCGTCTGAAAATAATTGGATTAGCTAAAACATATCAACTAAATAGAGACAGTCCTGCTCAGGCAGTCAGAGTGAATGTCACCCTGGGAAAAAGGAAAAAGAAAGGAAGAAAGAGAGAAAGGAAAGCCCTGAAAACTGATCTCCTGGTCACTGGGCTCGCTGTACCCTCCTCCCTCTGAAGTCTTCCAAACCTAAGTGTAGTCTGAAGACTGCTCAACCAGCCCTTTATAGACAACTGATTATTTTTTTAACCTTTGCTTTTTTTTTTTTTTTAATGCAATCTATTTAGCTGGAATGGCCCACTCTGAAATGAGCACACCTTAGGAGACATAAGAACCTTCATAAAACCCTTCTAAAAATACACTTCAGTCTGATCACTCTCTTTTGACTGAAATGCTTCGAGTAGCCACAGACTGAGAATGAATTGGTCTTATTTCTAAAGCAAAGAAAAATTCTGCCTGTGTATGCTCTCTCTGCAATGACCTTGATAGAATAAATCTCTCAGTGTGCTGGAAAATACAGTTTGCTTTTGAGGGAAAAGGTAGCCGCAGAGGAAGCAGAAGCACATACCCACAGAATCTTTTTCAGCCTTGCTATCTACCGGGCCTGGCTTCCAACCAACTCCAAGAGTTAGAGGTCCTGTTCACACTGAATACTCCAAAATACACTGCAGACCAGGGACTATGCAAGGGACACTTGATGCTTCTTTAGCTCTACATCCCACTAGAAGCTACCTCATGCCCTCAGAAGTTCAGCTAAGAGTCCCTTTTCCATTTGAAGCCTGAGGATTTTACAAAGTGTCTGCCTCTTCCCAAATGACAGAGTCACACGCTTTATTTATATGTGCCTCTGTAAAGGACAGTCCTTGGCTATAGCCCCAGTGACCCTCTCTAAGGGGAGGGAAGAGGAACAGTCCGACTGACAGAGGCCAAAGGGGTCATAGGAGGGACCTGTGTTTGTTTAGGTTGGAGGAGGTTTCGTTTTAGCTTTAGACACTACAGATTTATTCCTGGGGCCTTCCATTTGGTCTTGGAAACTAAAGGTTGGCGGTAGAATCCAGAAGTCCCTCAGCAGGCAGGAGGAAAGGGCATCCATTTGTTTGTGTTAGTCTTTTTTCCTTTCCCAGCTCACTTGGATTGTGGGGCGGGGGGGGGGGGGGGGGGGTTACAAGCAGATCACACTTCCCCTCTGCAGCCTAAGTCAATAGGAGGTAAGACACATCACTTTGTTCCCAGGCTGGAAGAATGGAAGAAAATAGAGCTCCCAAGGGCTGAGGGATACCTGTAAACCTCCCAAAACACCTCTCCCCCCCCACACACACACACAAAAAAAGGGAAGGCCCTTTTTTGCCTTGACATGGATGTAGAGGAAGTAGGAGGGTGCAAAAGAGATTCCCAAGGGTGTAAGGGTGGAGATGGCGCTTACCTGTGCTGGATCGTGCCTTGGGCCTCGACTTACACCCGAACCCGGTAGGGGATCCTCCCAGCAGGCTGCTAGGTGGGAAGAGTCCGGAGCTGTACTCGGGCACGTAGGGCGGATAGGTGGTGATAGGGTGATGGGCTGAGGACGAGGCCCCTCCCAAGGTGGTCATGCTGCCTCGGGAATGGGACGTCTCCAGCTTCATGCTCTCGGGCAGCGGCACCTGATACTTGAGGCACTCTTTCTCATCTTGCCTGGCGGAGCCGGCCGATCCTGGGGTGGACAGCGACGGGTCTGGGGAGACATCCTTCGGAGGGGTGGGCGGGAAGGTGAAGAGATGCGGACTGGAGTGGCCTGCGGCCAGAGAAGAAGATGAGGCCGGAGGGTAGACGGACAGTGGCCCTGGGGAGCCGTGGTGGATGGACGTCTTGGAGAAGGGACTGAGATTCCAGGGCGAGGCGGTGTGGTGGCTGCTCAGGGCTTTGCCGCCATCCAGCCAGGGCAGGGATCCATGCAGCAGAGGTGGGCGGCATACCTGGCTCCCTGCAATGACAGGGGAAGAGGAGAGAAAAGAGAACAGCATTGAGATCAGCCCTCAGACACACCTGGAAATTCTGCCCCTGGGGCCCCCAGCTTCCCGGTCAGCATACCTCTAAACCCAACCGTGAAAGAGCTCAAAACTACTCTAATCTCCGTAGTTTCAGGAGTACCCGGCCCACACGCCTCCGGGTAGAAGCAGACCATGTCCACACCCATCAAATCTAAAACGAAAGGCCTGCTCCTAATACTCCAGAGGAGTTGCGAAGACATGGAGAAAGGTTCCATGGCTTATTTGTCCTGTCCAAATACACTCTGAACCAGATTTCCTGGGGTCTCTCTCTAGAACCTGCCTTGATTTATTGGTTTCTTTCAATGGTCCTGATTCTCCCACCACAGTCTTAATCCCAACCAGGCTGATAAGAGAGTCAGCTTGAATGATGGGGCCTGGAGGATGAAGTGAGGCCACTCCACTCTTCGACCCTAGGGAGAGGCCCAGCTCCCAAAACCCAATGCAAGGAAGGCAGGGTGCATTTAAAAGTTAATTTCAGAAAAGATTAATGCTTGCTCAGAACTGGCAAAGCTGCTTCCAAAAAGCCTGAAATGGAAATCTTTAAGGAAATTTTCATTGTCCAAGCCCTTGAGGGCTCCCCCCCCCCCGTTCTTTCCTCACTCTGCTCAATCATAGAGGAAAAGAAAATAAAACAAGTCCCTTGGCCCTGGAGACTTTCCTATTCACTGGGGCAGTATGTGAATTTTCACCTGAGACACCAAATTCCAGCTTATGTGTTTAGTTTAAACGGCATACAGGGTGACTCACTTGTATACAGAGTTCAGCCTTCACTTAAAATACACAATTTTAAGGCGTTCATAAGTTACCCATGCCCATACTCTCGGATAGGGAACCCTTCAAACTACAAGGGCTCATCTATACTCTTATTGATCTTTCAATCCCGTATGCCTCACCATTTGCTGTTCTTGTCAACCATTAAGAACAATACTGAAACTAAAATCTTGAGTGAGAGGAAGGGGAGGGGAGTCAAGAGAGATGGAGAATTCTCTTGAACGCCAAGGGTTAAGGC